CACTGTTTTGTAATTTGAAACCTTGAAGGGTGAACATCCATCCGTGATTCCCAAGATAATAGTTTATCGCAAAAACTTTCACTAGCCTGTAGGTGATACCCGAGAGCGCAGGAATGCTGAATTTGAATAAGCAAGGTTGAGCGTGAGCAAGAAGTCATTACCCTAAAATTTCAGCTTCCTAGATTCCGTGGTTCCCGAGATATTAATTTACCGTAAAAAACTTTCACGGGGCCGTACGTGTCCGCGGATACGAGAAGGCTGAATTTAAATTTGCCGCGTTACCCGCTGTCGGGGAACACTATATTAAAATTTCAGCCGCCAAGCTCTTGTGGTTTCCGAGTTGGAAGTGCGGGACAAAATGTGGAGCACATACATACACAAACACACACACAGGCAATCCTATGACAATATGCGTTTTGTACTGCTGTTACACAACACAAAACGCATAATTAAATCAAACCTAAGCCTATGAATAAAAGCAAAGAAATTAAAGGAAAAAAAAATTCTGAATCTCTGGATAAAAGTAAGAAAAAGCAAAAGCAAGAAAAAAACTGTGCCTGTGAGAGCGGAAATTGATATAACAAAAACTCATAGTCAATAAGCGACTTTCCTACCAATGAAGCTAGTGCTTAGACGAAGTTCCATTGTAGGAAGTAGTTGATGACCAAGATAACGGCCGCTTTTCGTTTCGATTTAGGGAGCCAAAATGGCCCGTGTGCGAAGAAAAACCCAGGCTGAAACGCACCAGGTGAACCGGTGCGATCATGCGTTTTTGCACCAGACTTGAAATAATTTGGTTAACTGCATGAGTGGTTGTCTTTCTTTACACATACCTTGTGCTCTCAATACTGTAACTCATCGTAAATTTTGCATAAAAGAAAATAAACAATACCCATTTAGCGGTAGTTTTTTGGAAATGACCCAGCCGTTCAATGAGTAATTTCCCGCCAAAAACTTAAGTGCCCGTGCACGAGAGCCACGCACGCTGAATTTGACAACTTTAAGTCGTAAGTGGACTGGAAACATTCCCTGAAGATTTCAGCTTCCCAACTTTACTAATTTCCGAGTTAGCCATTTTCCCGCCAAAAAATTTCGCAGTGCCGAACGCAGGTACCATGTAAGCCTGGGGGATGAATTTGATGAACTTAAGTCGTACATGGGCTAGGAACGTTCCTTGATAATTTCAGCCTTCCAGCTTTGCTAATTCCCGAGTTAGCCATTTCCCCGCCGAAAAATCTCACGGGGCCGTACGCG